ACTTTATTAGCTATTGTATATTCACAAGACAACGTCCAAACTTGATCTCATTCATTCTTTTTGAAAGAGAGACCTATATTGTCTGCAGATCTCCTACACATCAAACTGCAAGCAATAATTCAATCCTGGAGTCTATATGCAGAACGAATCCCTGATGACATGACACCTGTGGCACTTGAGGAACACTCACCTGTGCGCAGAAGTTAAGATTATTAATGACATGGCTAAAGCTCAGAGTTCAGCTGATGTTCTGGATCTAGCCCCTGCTCATTGGCCCTGCTTCATGATGTTATGGTGGCGCGACACCAGCGAGGAAATCTCGCGATGTGTCACAACAGTCCCGATACTGCCCACTACAGTTTAATTCGCGCTTTGCCATTGAACAATAGCACAGATTATGCTCTTTTTTTTTCTTAGAAAAAATAAAACAAGTATACAAGTATCGCCAATTAATTATCTTATGTATAAAGCTATATTTAACTTAAAAAACTGGATTTGATGACTGTGAAAAGGCGTAAACTCTGATATAAACCAGTTCTGTAAAGCGGTGCTTGAGTTGCTATGCAACTGTACCGACGCCGGAAGTGCGTGGCTACGAAAGACATGGCGAACAAGAGGGGAACAGCTGGGTCTGCTCCCTTTCATGATATTTTACGACATTATGCGGTATTAATCCTAACTATTTTATCCTATAAATTCACTACGGCTACAGAGGAAGATGCATTTCGTGCCGGGCAGTCGATATTGTCTCCGGTGGCTGCAGCATCACGGGATGTTCGGTAGGTAAACTACTTTTACATGGCAAATGTCCACAACTATTATGTCATTTTGTGTTGTTTATTCCTTTTATGTAGTGCCGTATGAACGCTGTAATTCAAAAATAAATGAATATGGTTACCAGGTTATAAGAGACTTGTAAAACGCTTGACTTCCCCGTTATGTACCTTCAGCACCACCTGTAAGGATCGAGTACCCCTTCATTACACCCAAATGCAAATGTTTCTCTGATGAATATTATATTGGATATCATTCAGCTTTATAATTAGTATTATTAAAACGGTCATTATGGATCATTGTTCACTAAAATACTGTAAGAAAGTGAAAAGGCTATGTCTCTCTAAAGAATTGTGTTTGGTATGGTTTGATTTCCAATGAGATGGAAGTAGGCCTATATAAAAACAATAGAATTTTACACCAATAACTTGTTTTACACATAATTTTACAATAAAACATGTTTTGTTTGAAACATTTTGATTAGAGAAAGGACAAAAAAAATGAAAAATAACCAGGAATATTTAACACTAAAATGAATGAATAATTAAATTGCCCAAACGAAATTATTGAAAGTTTGATTCACGAAATATATTATTAACTTTATTATTAAATATATAAATATATTATTATTACTCGTTGTGATAGCGCCAGCAGTCTGAGACATCAGATTTTATAAATGCATTTAGTTTATGAGGTAGAAAAAAACCCGTTACATTTTAAAAACATGAAATATTTTAGTTGGAGGAAATACAATAAATAAATCCCCTTTACATGTTTTATATTAAATTTATTGGAAAAATGTAATTACTCAAAAATGCTCCAAATAAATAATTGAAAGTTTAATTTGTTCGGTTTTATTATTAACTTCTTTGTGATAGCAGTCTGAGAAATCTGTTATTTATAAATGTATTTAGTTTGGTATTCATTTGATTTCCAATGAGATAGAAGTAGGGGAAAATATCTAAGTTTACAATATGAAACATTTTGATTAAAGAAAAGAACAAAATGAAGAATCACCTAGAATATTTCACACTAAATGTAATGAAAAAATGTGTTGAGTTTTTTCTTTTTTAGGCAAAAAATGCTCAAACCAAAGTATATATACATACACATTGATCCTGTTATATGCAATGCTCAGATACCTCCTATATGATGTAAATCCACCCGAGGGCTTCAATCTTCGCCGAGATGTGTACATTCGCATGGCCTCTTTGCTGAAGACGTTGAGGAAAGAGGGCGACTGGGTGCTAGTTTTGCCTCCATGGGGTCGTCTGTATCACTGGCAGAGTCCTGATATACATCAGGTTCGCATCCCGTGGGGGGAGTTCTTCAGCATAACCAGCCTGCAGGCTAACATACCAGTCATTGAGTATGAGGAGTTTATTGCTGGTGAGCCATGCTGTTTTTGTGTGTTTGAGAGAGAGAGATTACAATTACATGTCATTATTTAGCTCATTTACATGTCATTAATTTATTCAGACAGGAGGAATGTTGGAAAAACAGGTTAAAAAAAAAAACATACATTACATACAATTCCATGTGGTGACGCTAGTGGCACAGGAAATACAGGACAGTCTTGCGTGACAGTCTAGTTAGTCATATACAATCAATTTTCACTTAGAAATTGCTAGTAAATTCCACAAAGAAATACCAAGTAACACACTGAATTAAACGTGAAATTTTAAAGTAGAAAGACATACTCCAGTAAACGTTTTTACAATGTAGTATTTAAATATGAGTAGGAGCACTGCATTAATAAATAATAAAAGCTGAGACTCAATTATCATTCCCACGTTCTGTGTCTTTATTATTGATCTCAGAGTCTGGAGGTCCCTTCATTGACCAGATCCTTGTGCTGCAGAGCTATGCCGAGGGCTGGACAGATGGGAAATGGGAGGAGAAGATGGATGAACGACCATGCATCGAAAAGCTAATGTACTCAAAAGACAAACAGGGTTATTACAGGTACTGCTTTAAAATGACAGGTTCAGCCAGTTCAGGTGCTTTTGACAGACATACTGTACTTATAGAAGGATGCAAGGTATTGTTTATGCAACTTTTAAATCCATACATGAATAATTGTTAAAGGAACAGTTCACCCCTAAATAAAATATTTCAAAATATACTGTATGTGTGTGTAAATATAAATAGAATACTGTAATATATATAATATGCTGATTTGGTATTCAAGAAACATTTCCTTAGTGTTATTAAATGTTGAAAACAGCTGTGCTGATTAATATTTTTGTGGAAACTGTGAAACATGATTTTCAGGATTTTTTTGATGAATCGAAAGTACAAAAGAACAGCATTTATTGGAATACATTTTTTGTAACATTATGAAAGTCTTTACTGTCACTTTTGATGAAATTAATGCATTCTTGCTGAATAAAATTATATATTATAAATCTTCCTGACCCCAAACTTTTAAATGTATGTCCATACAACTTATGCATTATATTTGATTATCATCTGAAGCCAAACAATTGCTTTGTGTGAGAAACAAACCGAAATTTAAAGGGATAGTTTGTGTGATTATTTACTCACCTTCATGTTCTTTCAGTGTATGATTTTCTTTGTTCTGTTGAATGCAAACGAATATATTTTGAACTTTGTTTCCATACAAAAAAAGTCCAAACAAAACAACATTCTTTAAAATATTTTCTTTTGTGTTCCACCGAAAAAAAAGTAATGCATGCCATAGGAAAAGAAATTCAATCCATTTCTTTAATGAAATCTTTTTTTTTTCTCTCCAGAGGTTGGCTTTGGGGTTATGAGGAGACCAGGGCATTGAATGTCACCTGTTTATCTGCTCAGGGACATGCCTCTATCTTGGCTCCTGTCTTACAAAATAACTTAAATGCTACGTAAGTCACTTTGGAAATAAGTTTGAATTAAAATAGCTTTTAAATGCAAATGGGGTCCTATACATGTGTTGTCATTGAACCACAGGTCAATAATGCTTGACAGATCTGAAACTGTCCTTCATGATCACTATGCTGAGAAGGACTACTGGGATGTAAGTCCATGAATTAATATTCTCAGGTTTTTTAAATAATTTGGCTAAAAATTTAGCATTAATTAGACCTTTTGAAAGATATCTCACCTATCTCATTTTATTGTTCTACAGACGCGGCGAAGTATGGTGTTTGCCAAACACTTGCGTATCATAGGAGATGAGTTTAGGGCCAAGTATCTCAACTCCACAGACAAACAAGACCAGACGCTGTATAACGAAGACTGGACCCAAATGAAAGTATATTTCACTTACATTAACTCTCCCCTCTCATTGTTCAAATACAAAAAGTACTGGTGTCATTGCTGCCAGCATAATAGATATAGTCAAACTGGTGTTTATGTAACAAGATGAAGTATTTGAGCTTTGTCAGAGCTTTTGTTCACATGTCAAGACAGTTAATTTCTGGAATGTTTGCCATGTGCTTTACAACCACGCTCATTTCAGTGTGACAAAACAGTCATATTTGTTGCATGACCTTTTGTAAACTCTTGGACCCAGAACAGGCTGGGCAGTGCTAAGGGAGGCCCTTACCTGGGAGTCCACCTGCGTAGGAAGGACTTCATCTGGGGGCACAGAGAAGATGTGCCCAGCCTCAAAGAAGCAGTGAAGAAGATCTGTAGTCTCATGAAGAAGCACAAGCTTCAACAAGTCTTTGTTGCCACCGATGCAGACGATGAAGGTACAGACACTATTAAAAAGACTGAAAAAGAATAAAACAACAGTGTACAAATTATTTAAGCTTTCATTCAGAAACATTTATTTATTTATTTTTGTTACAAAACATTCACAGAATAGACAAAAAATGGAAACGTTTGTTATTTTTTACTAAACCTCATCTCAAAGCCTTGAGCTGATATATATATATATATATATATATATATATATATATACTATATGTGTATATATATATATATACTATATGTATGTGAGATCAGGCTGTTTCTGCTTTTAGAGCTAGCTAAACTGAAAAGGATGCTACCGGAGATGGTACAATACAAGCCCACCTGGGAGGACCTGGAGCTCTTGAAGGATGGAGGGGTGGCTATCATAGACCAGTGGATCTGCGCTCATGCGAGGTATTGAATCACACCCTCTGCTCTCCTTTTTTCATCACAACAAAGCGGTTACTGAATTACATTGCATTTTTTGTATGCTTCAGGTGGACAAAAGCTGCTTTATCAACTGTGTTGAAAGATGAATCGCCTACTCGATTTTAGAGTTAGTTGCTTTTCAAACCAGAATTTTCTTTTAGTGTTTATATATTTTTTCTTCATCTCTTTCATTGATTTTAATTTAGTTTCGATTCAAACCAAGTATTGGGAATTGGGAATAATATAATGACAAAATTGATTGTTTTGGATTTTTTTTTTCACTTGCCAAAATAATATTTCAAATAATGACTTTACTTTAAAAGTTTATTTAGCAATAACAATTACTAATTAGATTCTTTGCTGTTTCATTGAATTGG